TGCCTGTAATATGTTACTGCTTTCATCACCACTGGGAGGTGGCAGTGATGTGATCCAAACAGTTTCATTCTACTGGACTTGCTGAGAGAAAGCTTCTGTCCTGCTAAAGACACTTTGAATAAACAGGCAGAGAGGAGCCCATCAATTTGTAGTCTCAATTCTCCAGGCAGTAAGAAGGGAATGTGTGCGCCCTTTTGTTCCCAGAAAGTATTACTCTACAAAAATGCTAAGCAAAAAGAACCAGAAGTGAGAGTCACTATGCTGGTCAAACATTGTTGCCAGAAGACCATCATTTGCACAATCCTGGACCATGGAGGGCACCAGAAGGGAAAAAAGGAAAATAAGGAAGAAGAATGAAAAAAGGTGGGAGAAGTATGCCACAGGCGCAAAAGTGGAAAAAGAAACTTTGAGTGGTTTGCTATATCTCAGTTTGGAAGTACATCTGGTTTCTTGTTCCAAGAACAGGAGTTTGGAGCTTTAGTGGGCACAGGGATGATAATAATAATAATAATAATAGTAACAGCTGAACACATCACAAGAAAGGGACAATCTTGCGTACTGCTCTTTAATGATAATTGAAAAACTATTAAATTGGCTCCAGTTGTTTCTTGTGGATGGTGTAACAAACTTGTATATAGGAAAAGATCCATTTGGATATTGTCTGGAAAGAGACAGGTTAAGGAGACTTTGCACGTTCTCCAAGACTTCATTCTGTAGAGGCAAAAGGCGAGCACTTATCTGACATCTAGGGCGTGTAGCGCTCCTTGAGTCAGCTTGGTACGTGGTTTAGGACAAAATGCAGGTAAGAGTATGGGTTCATTGATAAGGAAACGTGATGGAACTTTCGGGAGGAATTTGGGGTGAGATTGGAAGATTACTCTGTCTTTAGTGAACATGGTGTAGGGCCAATCAGACATCAGTGCCGCCATCTTGCCCACCTTCCTACTGGAGATGATGGTTACAAAGAAGGCCACATTCATGGAAAGACATAGCCACAAGCATGTAGCTAATGATTTGAAAGGTGGTTTGGTTAGGCTCTTAAGAACAGGATTTAGATCCCATATCAGTGTAGGTGGTCAAAGTATTCTGAAGACTTGTAAGGAAATGCTTAGTGATGGGATGTGCAAGAATAGGAGGTGCTATTAGGGGGTTTGTGGAAGGCGGCAATCGAAGCTGCATGGACTTTTATTGTGTTAAAGGAGAGTCCTGCTTCCTGCAATTCTAAGAGTCTAGTATGATTGGTAGGGAAGTGGTATCAGGTGGGATGTGATGATTATCATTTGCCCTTGACTTAAGGTGCGCTACACTCCCTAGATGTTCATTTGTAGATGTTCATCTTTCTGGTGGATACTCTCCTACCATTAATTAGGATTTGCTTCACCCTGTCAGAACAGGTAACTTCATCATTATGGAGCCAGCCAGGAACCATGTGTTGAGGTGGAGTTTCCCTGGCCTGGGATGAAGTATCTTGCTGTGGCGTTGAGACAGTAGATCACAATGAGGAAGGAATACATGGGGACTGGAAATAGTCAGCCTCTGCAAGTAAGGGAACCAGATCTGCCTGGACTATGATGGTATGATTAGAATTACCAATGCTCAATCTTGTCTGATTTTCGTGATCATTTGATGGATCAGAGGTAACGGTGGGAATGCTTATAGGAGGGGGGCATTCACTTTAGAAGGAAAGCACCCTCTATAGAACCTCGGCTTAGAGCTACTCTGGAGCTGAATAAGTGGCATTTGCATTTGGTCTTGGTTGCAAACACGTTTCTTGGGCTGACTCCACTTAAGAGAAGCATCTCTGCGGACTTGAGTGTCCGGCTCCCACCACACTCATGCTGGTTGCAGGTTTAAAAAAAAAGGGGGGGGGGGGGGGAAGAGGGGAGGAGACCACACACAAGAAAACTAAAAAAAGCCCCATGGCTGAGATTGTCTGTGACGACATTGAGCATCCCAGGAAAGCAAGCAGCAGTAGGATTTGTGTGATCCATGATGCACCAACTTCATAGTTTCAAGGCCTCTGCACAGAGGAAGGCAGATCAGGCTTCGCCCTACCAGTTGATGTACTATATACATGCCATATTGTCTGACAGGATTTTCATCAGCCTATGAGCAATAAATGGTAGAAAGTGGCAGCATGTATATCACACCACGTGAGCTCAAGAAGGTTGATGTGAAGTGTTTGCTCGTGGTGAGACTGTTTCAGCTCAAAGATGATCCCCCACATCACGAGAGAAGTATCTGTTGTAATGATAACTGTAGGAGAGCAGGCTGCTGAAAGGGGATCCGTGCAACATGTTCTGCGTCTGTGTCCACCAATGCAATGATGTTAGAATGTGATGTGTTACAGTGACAGTCTGGTGTAAGGAGTCCCTGGAGGGAGTATAAACCATGGTGCCAGCCATGCCTGTAAGCATCTCACGTAATCTGGCTAGTCTCACCACATGTGTGGTGGCTGCCAATTCTGAGGCATACATACACTGTTGTGACCGGCTTTATGCATGCTGCAGACACGAGAGCTGTGAGAGCATCAATCTATGTTTGGGTAACGTTCCTGAAGCCATTGTTTAATCTAGATAAGCCCCTATGAACTCAAGAGTTACATGGGTTGACACATGGATTTCTGATAATTAATATGGAATACAAGGTTGAGAAGGATCAAAATGGTTTTGCCAAACCATGTCCTGGGTCTCTTGGAATGATGTACCTTTTTATAAGGCAGTCATCTAGGTAAGGGAATACTATTACTCCCAAGTGACGAAGATGTGCAGTTACCACAGCTAGAGTCCTTGAAAAACTCTTAGTGCTGTCGAGAGGCCAAATGGGAGAACTTGATATTGGTAATATTTCATGTCCACTAGAAAGTGTAAAAAGTGTCTGTTCTGGAAGGATCGTTATGTGGAAACAAGCATCCTGGAGGTTGAAGGCCGAGAGCTAATCCCCGTGATGTAAGGGAGGTCTGACTTGCTAATGTTACCATCTTGAACTTCTTGTACGTTATGTATTCGTTGAGTTTTCTGAGGTCTAAAAATGGCCTCCATCTGGCTGTTTTCTGTGTGCAGAAATACTTGGCATAAAAACCTCTTCCCTCGAAGGTTGGCAGAACTAGTTCTATTGCTCCTATTTGCAGGATGTGTTGTACCTTCTTGCTGGAGGAGAACCTTATGAGAGAGGTCCCTGAAGAGCAGTGGGGAGGAAGGTTGGGTGTGGGGAACAGAAGTAAAGGGGCTAGAGTAGCCAACTTTGATGATCTAAGACCCAACATTCTGATGTTATTTCTATCCATTTCTGTTGGAAGGAACATAACTGATAGGTGAATTGGAGGTTGGATGATAATGTCATAGTAACCATGGGAATTTCTCTCAGGTTGTCTACAACCCTTTCAAATTTGTTGCTTGGAGGTGGAAGGTTGGCTAGTCAAAGACTGTTGAGGTCTTGTTGAGGTTTTTGCCTCTGTCTAAAGTCATACTTTGTCAGGTATCTGTATGGTTCTCTGGGTCATCAGTAATTATATCTCTGCCTCTTGTTGGGCGGTGTGTACATCCCAAGGGTTCTCTTGGTTGTCCGAGAATCCTTCATGGAAGGCAAGACCTCATCTATCTTCCATGCCAACAAGTTGGTTCTGTCGAAGGGAAGGTCCTAGACTTTGTTGCAGCTCTCTCATGATTCCTGACACTTTGAGCCACGATGCTCTACACAACATGATGGCTGTTGCCGTAGTATGGGATGCAGTGTTAGCTACGTCCGTTGCTGATTGCAGGGAGGTACAGGCAATCATGTGGCTCTCTTGGATAAAGCTATGCAGATGTAGTTGTTTCTGGTCCGGTAGAAACTGCGAGAGCTCTTGGAGCTTTGAATAGTTGGTGTAGTCGTAATCAGTGAGCATTGCTGAGTAATTTACTATTCTCAGTTGTATGGTCACTGACAAATAGACTTTTCTGCCCAGGATATCTAATCATTTACGATCCTTTTCCTGGGGAGTGGACCGGAGTTTAGGATGTTTTGCCTTGTGCTGGACTAAGTCCACGACCAGGAAATTAGGTGGGGGACGGAAGAATAAAAAAATCCATTCCCTTGGCTGGGACGAAGTATTTCCTGTCAGCCCTCTTACTAGTAGGCATGAAAGATGCAGGCATCTGCTAGATGGTATCAGTAATATCCATGATGGACTCATCCATGGGGAGGGCCATCCTAGAAGAGGTAGCAGGTTGGAGTCTGTGCTGCTTTTCATGGACCTCTTGAAGATCCAGTTCGTGCAGGCTTTTAACAGAGTCCGAGCAAGAATTTTTTGCTGGCATTTTTGGGATTTATTTTTTATTTTGTTATAGATGTTACAGTGACAACAGTTCAAACAAGAAATTAAAAGAACTGTTGATGTTAAAAACAAAGAGATTATCTTGACAAACAAGAGAAATGGTCTGAAATAAATAGAATGAAATTCAATATGGACAGAATGTGAAGAAAATGGGAAATGACTGCCAAGGAAGAAATAGTACAGAAAAGGATGGGAGGCATTATAGTAGATCGCAAACTAAATAGGAGTCAGCAATCTAATACTATTGCAAATAAAGCAAACATTCTGAGATGTATTAGCAGGAGTATTGTGAGCAAGACATGAGAAACTTTACTCCAGCTGTGGCCTTAACTGGTGCCGAGTATTGTGTCAAGTGCTGGATATCACACTTTGAGAATGATGTGAACAAACTGGAGAAAGTCCAGAAGAAAGCAACAAAATATTAAAGGTTTAGAAAACACAACTGAAGAGGAAAGATTGAAAAAATTAGGCTGCTTATTCCAGAAAACAGAAGATTAGAGGAGGGGGACATGATCACAGACTTCAAGTTCTTGAAAGGTTGTTAGAACAATTTATGATCCTGTTTATCCTAAATTACTCAGAACTGGGCAAGTAGTAAAGTGTATAAATTGCAGCAAGGGAGATTTAGTTTAGATATTGGAAAAACCTCTTAAATCTAAGAGTAATTAAGCCCTGGAACAAATTGCCTAGGAGGCTGTAGAATCTCTATCACTGGAAGTTTTTAAGAGCAAGTTAGACAAATACCTGTCCCATGTTTAGTTATGCAGATAATTAAATTACATGACCTATTGAGGTTCCTTCTAGTCCTACAATTCCATGATTCTATAATTAACCACTGTGACAACTTATAAAAGGGTCAGAGGATTCCCCATCATTGAACATTTTTAAAGTCAATTCTGGATGTTCTTCTAAAACAAAGTAGGTCAATGTAGATTATCACAATTGTCCCTTCTGGCCTTGGAATCTATGAAATTATTTAAGTAGTAAAAGACAATAGTTGTTTCACATGGGAGCTATGAGGATTAGTTAATGTTTGTACAAAGCTAACAGGTGAAGTAGTGCAAGTATTTAGTTTTGATACTTTAAAATGAATGATACTGAACAGAAAAAGGTCATTTAATCTAACTTGCTTCAGTCTAGCATTCAGACTGGGAATCTTGATAGCAAAATATGCTCTGCACAGAATTTCCTTGAGATTCTTGGATGAACCATTAGTGAAATTTCTGCACTGTTATTCTTGTTACATTTCAAGAGAACCTCCATTCAGGAGACAACGTCCCAGAAAGTTTCTGAATCCTAAATAGCATTAAAATAAAAATATCAAATACCTTTGTGATATAGAACTTTTTCAGCCCATCCAAAAATGATGTGAAAATTGAAGCAACCTGTGGTTTAAGAGCATGTCCTTTGGGGAGAGAGGGAGGGAAAGGAAGAAAGTAAGTTACAAGGCAATAATTCAGCAACATTTTCAGAAATCTTATTTCATCATGTAATGAAGAATGCTCTGATAAAGGATTTGTAGGTAAAGCTCTCAGAAAAAAGGACTTGGAATATTTTATTTTTTGGAACAAAATGAAGAAAACTCCTTAGTGTTAGTGTAATGTTTTTCATTGTTATTCAAAAGAAATATTTGGAGAATATCATATTAAAATGTATGTCTTATTTCAGATATGTAATTCTGCTTAGCTTTTGTTCAGGTCACTACAAGTATATGGCTCATAGAAAGTTTAAACCACATTCTTTCAATAGAATAAATAAAACCAGGATAAATTTCTGAATTATGCCAAGCTATTGAAACCAGTATCTGAAAATGAGATGTAGAGGAGAATTTTCCCCCTTTTTGGGGATACCACTTGTGCAGATTTCTCTAAATAAGTAAACTAGTAGTTGCTTCCTTAATCACACGCAGAATTAAAATGACTAGAACACATAAATGGCATCTTGGAGTCTGTTAAATTAACATCTATGCCTCAGGACTGGGTTGAATTGAGATGAAAACCTATTATGATTTTTTCCATTGTTTTCAGTTAATAGCAATGTCTAAACTTCCAAAACTGTTTCATTTTAATAGCCTTACATCTGGTTTACATGCTGTGAGCCCAATTCAGAAAAAAGTTATGCACTGTTCACATGTTATTTCCAAGTACTTCCTTCTCAAATACTTAAAAGTATTTTCTCCTCAATAAAGTATGAACTTCAGTAATTCATCAGCCTCCTTTCCTTTTCACTCAAAAAAAAGCAACTCTTTTGCGTACTATGAAAATAAGAACAAGTTCCAAGAAGTACACCTTTATACATACTTAATGAATGTCAAATGTGCATGAAAAATTTACACAACGGCTGCTCATTTCAGGCAATAGAGAATAATTTACTCAACTACAACCTTTAAAAGAAACTGGAAGATATTTTGCCTGCTTAAGAAATAAGTTCAAGGTTTATGTTTTTCCAGCAGCCATTAACTGTCTCACAAACACCTAACAGTGGACAGCATGGACAGCTGTTTAAAGTACTTGTGAAGTTAATTAGAATAAGTGAAATAACCCTAACCTCAGGTCTAAGCCTTTAAGTGGAAGACCAGTTTTCAAATAGTTTAAACTATGTTAGTAAACTATTTTAAAAATTTTGAAATTGCATTTGTGGTTTGCTCTAGGTATATGTTCAGTATAATAGAATACTGCATATTTCAAAGATCCAACTCCTTATCAACTATGCACTTCCTCCCCTCATTTATGCTACTGCAACAAGTTATTGCTCATCCCCCACTTGATTTACCCTTCAAAACACTCTTCTTCAAAAATCTGGAGGGGCAGACAGACCCTGAAGTACCACACACCCTGAATTCATTGGCTCAAAGGGTAAGTGCTGCCATCTGCAGCCTCCTATTTAAACCATGAGTCCGATAGACTGAAGCCTTTTAAAGGCAACTGTCATGCTATCACTTCAGGGAGAAATCTCAGGTAGTCAGCATCTAAAACCCTAAGTCTCCATAGTTCAATCCCATTGCAGTGATTCACATTCATAAATAGTACAATTGTGATGTGCTTCCTGCAAGAGACCCCAACAAGCAAGGGAAGTGGTTTATTCTGTAACCATTTAATTTTCTATATTGTTTTCAGGTATAGCTTCATTCAGAATACACTACAGAAATTCCATTTTGAAAAGGTAAAAAACATGGGTTAGCTACAAAAAAAGGCCAGTAACTGAAGACTATACAACACTCAAATTACAATGCATTCACTCATTTTCAGTTCCTCAACACTCAGTCCACACTTTATACCACAAGGAATGCACATGCTCTTACTTTAATTGGAAATAGCTATCTGAAATAGATTTACAGACTAGGGATGTAAGTAAGTGACTAGTTGACTATCCAATAAGCAAAAGCGTACTGGATAGTCAACTAGTCTTATCAGAAGCAGCAAGGGCGAGGAAGCAGGAGCCGGTGCTAAGGGAGCCAGATTAAAAGCTGGTTCCCCCCAGCACCGTCTGTGCAGCAGGTCCAGGGGAGGCAGGAGAATAGAGAAGACTGGGCACAAGCCAAGAATCAGTTGATTCCCAGCTCACACCCAGTCCCAGGTGCTGCACCTCTGCTTTTTAAATGTACTAAGAGATGCTGGCTTTTAATACATTTAAAAAAATCAGAATTAAAGGGGGGGGGGGCAGAGGGAGAACCTGGCGCAAGCCAGGAAAGCTGATTCCTGGCTCACGCTAGGTCCCACCCCCACTGCACTTCAGCCTTTTAAATGTATTGAGAGCCTGTCAGCTCTTAATACAGTTAAAGGCTGGTGCGCAACAGGGTTAGCTCCCGGAGCCAATGCAGCTCCCCTTGCTTATGGAAAAGTCTGTCGATTAGTTAAACTAAATTTAAATCCCTATTACATACGAATGCCCACAGATTTATATATGATTAAAACTGACTAGTTATATGCACATGAATGTACACTGAATTACAACTAAATTCCTTAGCACTTAATTTACTACAAAAATGCTGTTGACAGCTTAGTGGGCCAAGCAATAGTAATGATGAGCTTTGCCTTAATTTTAAGTTAATGCTGCCCATCATTCAATTACACCCCAAATTTAAACTTACATTAATATTATGTGAGTATTTTTTGCAGCAGGACCAAAACTATACTAACACTTTTTAATGCTTCTTGCCTGTGGAGCATAACATTGTCTGTTTACATAGCATATATTTAAAAATGTCTTAGTTTTGAAGATTTAAAAGTGAAAGCCAAATTTTGCTGTAAGATTAACACATTCAACTCCCATTAGACAACGGGGAAGAACTGAACCCAAAATCATTTAAATATACAAGCCAACCATCATGTTTTAAATATCAGACACTCAATAAGTACTGTTGAGTAGTCACCCTTTAAAGAGTGCATTACACAATCAGGATTGAGATGCAGTGACAGAAGTTCATGGTGCATCCTTTCAATTTGCTTTTTTAATTCTCCGGGTGAGTAGTTGAGGTTTATAAATGCTTGGTAGAGATCCTGAAGTTTCTGATCTCTGTCAGTGGGATTAGAGCAGATGCGGTTGTATTGAAGGGCTTGGCTGTAGATGATTACATTGGACAAACGTCTCAGACACTTCGCCAAAGAATCAATGCCCACAAAACAGACATTAGACAGGATCACAAAGAAAAAACAGTTTCTTGCCATTTCAGCCAGAAAGGACACTGTCTCAATGACCTAATCACACGCATCCTACTTCAGAAGACTTTCAAATCTGCACTTGAAAGGGAATCCTCTGAACTGGCATTCATGCTAAAATTCGACACTCTCTGTGGGGAGGGGGTGGGGGTGGGGGCTGAACCAAGACCCTAACTACCTTACCCATTACAAAGATAGCTTCCCCAATTATCACCTATAATACCATTAACTCACAGACATCTCCCCTTCCCCACCTCTAATATTAACTCACAGGCATTTACCTTCCTTCCCACCCCCCCCCCCCCCCAGCAGCCCCCTTCTGTTCTGAAATGTGATTTGTCCTTTTCATATGTGTTCATTTTTTAAAAAAATTGTATCCTTTGGTATATATGGTTGTGACTATTTTCTTCCACTATTTGATCTGAGGAAGTGGGTCTGGCCCACGAAAGCTCATCATCTAATAAACCATCTTGTTAGTCCTGTATTTTGTTTCAGCTACACCAGACTAACACGGCTACATTTCTATCACTCTTCCTATTCCAAAGTGTCAAGTTTCCAAAAAGGCAAAAAAGATTCAAAACTAGAAATGAGACAGACAGTCTGAATTTTAAGCCAGGATGTAGCCTGCTCATTTTTGACACCTCATTAATATGTATAAGCAATCATTAATATGTATGATTTGTTATGAATATGTAGTAGCTGTTAGGAATGTTAATATAGAAGTTTCTAGGAGTGTTGCACACGGCACGCAAGTAGCTGCACATGTCACACTGTGCTGCTGCACATGGCACGCTGATCCAGGCTGTTACAGCTTGTCTATCAAAGCACCCAATCAGGACCCTTGTTTTCCTGTACAGGGTCCAATGATTGTAAAGATAAAGATCATGAATATTTATGAGAAGGGTGCTTTGAAGGCCTGGTTAACAGTTGTCTGTGTTCCTTCCTGCCACCATTGTCCCTGCTTGTCTGTCTGTTTATGTCAGTCTCAGTTAGTTAGGGTTAGCTAGATCTCGTCATCGAGTGTGTCCGTTAGGATTAGTGCGTCGGTTCACCGCACCAGCGGCCGGGTACTTGTCCGTGACGGGAGCGTCGAGTCTAGCTAGTCAGGTTTTGTTTCCAGATATTAGGGATAGGTAGCTGTCTATCATCGGTTCCTGCTAAAGAGCAGAAGCCACCTAAAGATCAGCGCCAGGCAAGTCTCCACCGGTAATTCCTGCGCCTACGAGCAAAAGGCCCCAAACAAGGATCATCACCACCTGCCTGCACCATACCCGTCCCCAGGGTCTCCAAGGAATTGCCTCTCTGTTCCTCGCTAAGGGCTCGGAAGGAGCCTAAGGCTTGAGGTCAAAAGCACCGCAAAGGGTCACCGCTGCAAAGGATCTCCTCCTTGTCTTTCACCAAAGGCTTTAAATTAGCCAAAGGTTTAAAAAACAGGAGCTTCTCACCCACTGTCAACTACTAAACTGTGTAATTATTATATTTTGTGTAACCTTGTGTTTGTGGGATACTTTTCTATCTTCTTTCCTTCTTAAGGTTGGGATAAAAAGTGTTTACCTGCTTTTCCTTGTTGTGCTTTTAAAACTTTTACAATATATGGTTTGGCCCTTTTAAAGTAAGCAACGTTTTTATTTATTGCGGCATTCTTGGGTCAGCAAACACCTATAATAAATAAGGTTTGGTGGTATCTGCAACTTCCACTGAGGCTTAATTAATAATAATCAATAAGGAACTATCACTTAAGACAAGGCACTCTATAAATAAAATATAAATACTAATTTTGGACACAATATTTGTGAACTTACCAAACTGAAATTGTGCATTGTCAACAAGGCGAATCGATGCAGGAGCACACCTCTAGAAAAGAATGAAATCAATTTGTAAATAAAATTGTGCTGAAGTGGTTTAAACTGTAAGTCATGTTGTCAAAACGATAGATATAGATACTAAAATTTTTCGTTTCCCTTGAACTTCAGCATATACAGCATATATTGACTACCTGGATAGATACTAACAATGAGTAGATTTGACAAATTCAAAAATCTCAGTTTTAAACTGCATCAAGTTTTTGACATTAGGTCAAAAATCTGGCTTTAGGCTTAACTGTATTTATAAACAACAAACAAATTAACATGTCCCAAAGAAATCCAGCATTATTTTAAGGCCATGTCCTTATCTCTAAACAGAGTTCTTTGCAGAGATCATTCCAATGGAACAAATCTGCGCAGAACAAGGATAAACACAGGGCTGTTCTTCTCTAGACACACCTGAGCTTTTGCTCTGGAATAGCCACAGAGAGCATGTGAAGAGATGTTGCATATAACAGCAGCTTAAAAGGGACAAATTCAGGGTGAATAGTTTCTGCTCTATGCTTTCTGTCCTGATGACAACATTGTGAGAGTCTTTAAAGGAGCAACTAAAGTGGAATCTGGCCTAACATATTTAAGTATGCATATTTAGAGGCATCTGACAAAGTGGGTCTTTGCCCACAAAACCTTATGCTCCAATAAATCTGTTAGTCTATATTTAGTATATCTCTATAGATAAATATGTTCACTGTGGGAAGAGAGTGATGTCATCACGTCACTCTGCATCCCAGAGCCCCTCCCTCAGCTGCTCTGCCTTCTCCCGCTCTCCATGGCACTTTCCACTCCTCCTTCGTGGGGGAGGCTGGCAGCCACGAGGCCTCCCCCCTCATGATTGGAGGGAGAGTGCATCAGGCCAGCCTCAGGCCGGTCCAACCCCTGGTGTCTGGTGGGGAAGTACCCAAGCAGGCCAGGGCTGCCACACCTCTGTCTGGCCCTGCCCAGCAGCCTAGGATGGAGGGGGGCTGGGGCTGCCTCAGCCAGGGACAGGGGCGATAGCTGGGGCTGGCCAGGACTGCCACTCCTTAACCTGTCCCTAACTGGCAGCCAGCGGGAGAGCTAGGGAGGCCTACCCCCCCAAGAGAAGGGGGTTGGCAAGTGTAGCGAGCAGGAGGAGCAGCCCCTACTAGATTAAGGGGGAAAAAAGTTAATTTGCCTGTATAGTAAATATACAGTAAATATTGTTCTTCAAGGGGTAATGTAGACATTTATTCCATGTAGATGTGGGCACCCACTGCACCAAAGCCAGAGAATTTTCTGTAGCAGTACTCACCCTGGGGTGCCAGCCCCTCCCCCTGACTATATAAGAGCAACACTGCCCTGATCCCCCTCACTCTCTTCATATTGAACATCAAGAGCTATAGTCTGATGCCGAGGGAATGGAGGGTGGGTTGTGGAATAAGTATTTACATCTCATATTGAGAATAACAGAATACATGTAAGTAACTGTTTTTGATTTGAGTAGAATCAGTCCTGTAATTCCATGTACTCGCAGTAGGTAGAATGCAGTCTATTGAAACAAAGACTGCAAGATTGCCTTCCCAAAGTTTACTACATCCAGATCAGATGCAATAATGGTACAGTGATTTGTAAATGAACTTACAAAGAACCAAGTGGTAGCCCTGCAAATGTCCAACATAGGAAGACATTTAAAAATATATTACATTGTTTGCCCTCTCAGAATGAGCTTGAATCCACTGCTTAGGTGCACCCTGAGCTACTTTGTATGGTATGATACTAGAAGTTATCCGTGTAGAGACTGTCTGTGAAGAGGCTGCTTGCCCTTTCAGTAGAACACTACGCAGACAAAATTTGTAGCTGCAGCTGTAGCCACAAAAAATGAGCCACAGATATTCACATCCACAGATGCAGACTCCCATGGATATCAAGCAGATATCCATGGATTTGCAGGGCTCTACCTTTCAACTGCTCTGCATATGAAACAAATGGATAAGATGAAGACAAGAAGATTTAGCTTTATCTAGGTTAAAACCCAAACATCACCTGACATTCAACATGGAAAAATGCTACTCACCTCTAGTTGAATATGGCTTGAGGAAGAACACCAATTGGTTTGAGTGATGCTGGGAAACCACTTAGATAAAAATAAGGTGTGACTGCAGATTTACTTTGTCTTTGGAAAATTGCATAAGGAGACTCTGTCACTAAAGTTTGCAACTAACATGCCTTGCAGATGTTATTGCCGCAAAGAAAGCAGTTTTCTGACTTAGAAGGGAGCAAAGCGGCCACAGGCTGGATTGGATGTCCCATAAGAACTGCTAAAACATTACTGAGGTCCTACTAAGGAACCAGTTCCTCCACCTGTGGTGGAGACAGGCAGCTCCATTGAAGAACCTTACTACCATGGAGGCCAGAAACACCAACTTCCCCAGGGATAAATCAATTGATGGATGTAATTACAAAATTACCATCAGGTGCACTTAACTAAGTGCAAGAAGAGAAAACTGAAGGAGTAACAAATACTTCACAACATTCCAAATACAAGTGATCTTTGGTTGAATTCTGTGGGCTAACAACCACACTAAGAACCACTTCCATTTGGTCAAATAGGTGGCTCTGGTGGAGGGCTTTCTACTAAGTAAGATTTGCTAGAGTGCTTAAACTGTTCCGCCTCCTCCTCCAACCATGCAGCTGAGCACTGGATGCAAAATTTGACCATGATGCAGAGTCAGGAGCTTAGGGCCAAGAGAAATGGGAAGCCGAAGGTCAAAGGTCAAAGATCTTGTTCTCATTGCTCCAATGTGGCAAAGTGCAGCACAATCTCATTTCAACTGGAAAATGATGACATGTTGGATGGCCACAGTGTTCCCTCTAAACTGTGGCAGCACGCCTCCACAGGTGAATAATCAGCCCCACCCAGTAAGAGACTCAGGGCTCGATGCATAGAGTTGACTGACTGGGAAGGGCAGATTAGTGAGCTGTGAAGCTGTGCTGCCACGCAGTTTAAAGGGAACACTGATCACAACTGAAGCAGAAGGCATAAAAAAGTTTAATTGTTCAGGGAACCCAGACAGATCCCTTTGAGAGAAAAACAGCTCTTTGAATCTCATGGCAAAGAAATCTATCAGTGAAATGTTCCACATCAAAAGATGGGGACCAAAGGATGCTGGATTCCAAAGACCATTCATTATTTGGGGACAAATTTCTGGTGAGGTGATCTCCCAGCTGATTCTGGCTGCAGACAAGGGCTGCTGGACCCAGCATGATTTGATTTTAACAAATAAGGAGGAACTCTTTGAAAATTTGACAGTGAAAGGCAGCTTGGGTGAAAGTGATCATGGAATCAGAGTTCAGGATTCTAAAGAATGGTAGAAGGGAGAACAGCAAGAGACAATGGATTTTAATAAACTCAGAAAACTGGTAGGTATGGTGCCATGGGAAACAAAACTAAAGGAAAAACTGGTAAGTGTTGGCAGTTTTTAAAAGGGACATTATTAAGGGTCCAAAAGCAAACTATTCCACTCCATAGGAAAGACAAAGTATGGCAGGCGACCACGTTGGATCAACCAGGAGATCATATAAGATCTAAAAATCGAAAAGGAGTTGTATAAAAAGTGAAAAATAGATCAAAAAGCAAAGGATGAATGTAAGCAAACAATACAGATATGCAGGATGATGTTCTACAAGTATATTAGGAGCAAGAGAAAGACAAGGTCAGGGTAGGCCCATTGCTTAGTCAAGAGGGAGAAACAATAACAAGAAATTTGGAAATGGCAGAGGTCCTTAATGACTTCTGTGTTTCAGTCTCTGTCAAGATGATGTATGGTGATGCGCCTGACATAACGAATGCTAGTGGAAACGGGGTAGGCTTAGAAGTTAAAATAAAAGAACAAGTTAAAAATTACTTAGAAAAGTTAGATGTCTTCAAGTCACCAGGACCTGATGAAATGCATTCTAGAATACTCAAGGAGCTGATACAGGAGGTATCTGAGCCTTAACCTATCATCTTTGAAAAATCATGGAAGTCGGGTGAGATTCCAGAAAACTGGAAAAGGGCAAATATAATGCTCATCTATAAAAAAGGAAAATAACCCAGGAAACTACAGACCTATTATTTTAACTTCTGTTCCAGGGAAGATAATGGAGCAAGTAATTAAGGAATTCATCTGCAAACATCTGGAAGATAAGGTGGTGATAGGTAACAGCCAGCATGGATTTGTAAAGAACAAATCATGTCAAGCCCAGTCTGCTGGCTTACTTTGATAGGAGATCAAGCTTTCTGGATAAGGGAGAAGCAGTAGACATGGTATACCTAGACTTTACTAAGGCATTGACAGTTTCACATGACCTTCATATCAATAAACTAGGGAAATGCAGCCTAGATGGGGCTACTATAAGGTGGGAGCATATCTGGCTGGATAGCCAGTCTCAGAGAGTAGCTACTAACAGTTCACAATCATGCTGGAAGGGCATAACAAGAAGGGTTCTGCAGAGGTCTCTTGGGACCAGTTCTGTTTAATATCTTCAACAACGATTTAGATGATGGCATAGAGAGCATGATTATTACCGTAATTTAGCGAATATACCCTGCACCTGAATATACCTGCAGTTTTTTCTATTTCAATAAAAAAAAATCTTGTATACCCCACGCACAAGTATAACCTGCGGGGTATACAAGACTGTGCCGGGGTAAATTTACGGTGCAGGGGTATATTTACGGTGTGGGGGGGTTAGGCTCCCAGCCCACGACTGAACAACACGAGGAAACTTACAAACAGCCGGGAATTCTCTGGAGCTGGGGCAGAGGCATCCCCAGCAGAGGCGCATGGCGGGAGGCTCCCAGCCCGGGCTGACAAAGGGAAGGAGCCCGGAGCAGGTGGCCCAGCTGCCCCGAACCATGCCCTGGCCCAGGAGCAACAAGCAAGCACGCAGCGGGTTCGGTGTGCCACGGCTGCAGGCAGGGGAGGGAGCCCGTTTGGATCGCACAGGAGCAACAAGCACCATACCTGGGCCCCGCTTCTGTGGCTGCAT